ACACTTCAACTGCTATGGTCGGGCGTATACTTGTTCGATCTGTCAGTAGATATCACATGAAAAAAAAATTGATTTGTCGACTATACGAATATAATAACATGTTTAACTCATATATTTCAATGTTCAGCGCTGGTCTCCTTTAAGGAGAAGGTTTGAGATGATCTAATGTGGGTTGGATCCTGCTAAAAATCCGTTCCATTACTTCACCCAGCATCCCAGAGCAAACCGTTGTTCCACCGAGGTTGTATATCTGGATTAATGTTCCATAATTTACTCCATAGGAACAACACACAAAATAACTACATGACAGTAACAAATAAAATAAGCAACTCGTAATTCGTTTCGCAACAGCCTTCGTGGCCGAACGGTGACCATGCCGGTCTGCCACGCAGAGGTCCCGGGTTCAATTCTCGGACCTGGAAACATATTTTTAGGGCCTATAATTATTTCTCTCGTGACTTTGGGCGTAATATGTGGTTGCGTATGTGTGTATCCATGGCACCCGCGACACAGGGTTTCCCTAGGGTGGGACTATGTTGAGTGTGTGCGTAAATATTATTAATTCGGGCTGGCCAATCGGAGCGCAGTCGTCACAGTAATGATTTGGCAAAATAGTTTTCAAAGAAATTAAATGACATTTCGTCTCTATCTGGTTATATACCCGATGATTAATTGAGTGAATTTCGATGAGTTACAATAAATAAAAGGCTAAATAAATTGCGGGATTAGTTACTTTGTTAACTTTCATATTTGAACCCTAAAAGCTTAAAATGCCTTTGAAGTTTGATTACACCTATTTGATACATTCTGTTACATATAAGTTCTATATTAACCTGGCTATTTTCATTTTAGTACGGGACTAATTCAATACATTTGTTAATTGGATAGCTATAGATCTTATTATATTAAGCATACATAGAAAACATAATGGACACTGCACGGCATCATAGGAACGAGACAGGTCAACATTATAGAAATTTATCATCTAATTTATCGTCTAATGTTGTTGTACGTATGGTAGCTTTCATTCCCAAAAGTGTTTTTAAAGATATTGATGAATTTGTTTGCTTTATTTTCTTGTTTTATATCATAGTATCCCAAAGTGGTCCCTACCGCCACTTAAAGAACACTGAAGAGTGCTAGGAGGCGGTAAGGGCTTCGGAAGCAATTGGGTGATGCTGTCCAGGGGGTGCTACCGCATTTGAAAAATAATCCTGAATTGTCTATATAAACTACATTATAAATAAATAGACATCATTTTCTGCGTTAAGTTGATAAAAAAATACGTATTTTCAATTAGTTTTTCGTGGTGATGGGTGTTGATATTTTTTTATCTTGCCTAAGTGGGCAGTGAACCTAAAAGTTTGAGAACCTATGGTTTATATGCTCGGGCAGTTTGTTGTATATTTTCGTAGACATTGCGTATGGTCTCGATTTATGCATCTTTAATTTTGATGTCGGTACTATCAGGTTGTTTCCGTATCTATAATAATAATTCCGTATCTATAAAAATAAATAATAAAAGTAAAATAAAAATAAAAATAAGGAAAGATAATCTCTGTAATATCCGAACAAAGATTAAATATCGAGAAAACATGGATATATCATGGAGAGTGTGCGATGGAATTACACGATTTAATTCCGCCTTCCCCTTTCCATCATCGGGGGACTAGGCGTAGGCTTGGCTTCCGCCCCTATGTTGTGGATATTCCAAAGATTCGCACGAAGCGTTACGCTTCCACATTTATATGGCGAACGGCTATGGAGTGGAATTCCCTGCCTGCAGACTTGTTCCCTGAACGTTATAACTTGGGCCTTTTCAAAGCGAGAGTTAATAGGCATTATCTAAGTCTGCATGCTCCATCCTCGACCTCAACGTCGCTTTCCATCAAATGAGATGGAGGTCAAATGCGCACTTACATTAGAATAAAAAAAAGTATATCGTTTGAGTGATTAGAATATTACTGCGCAAATTATGTAGCAATTTTCAGTTTTAAGGCAACCAAATTTTTTAAATAGCCGTAGAGCTCCTAGTGAACGAGTTCGTCCAGGGAAGTACTCCCACCTTAACTATTTCCGCCACCTGCAATAATGTCAGCATTACTGTGTTTCTGTTTTGAAGGGTACTGGTGAAATTACAGGCACATAGGATTTGTCTACTTACATCAAGTTGACGGTCGCAGTGGCAGTGCTCCTCAAATCTTTGCGATTTAAAGCTCTGAGTGGCACTGCAATGGACAAATGTTATTGACATGCGTGTAGCTTACTATCAGGCCCATGATTGGTTCGTCCTATCATTTGATATTATACAAAAAAACACTGCTACATGCCTAAGTTATTATTTAATTATTTTTTTGTAACTAATTTAAAATATTATTAGTAAATAGTGTTATGGAAACGAAAATAAGGAACAAAAAAACATATTTTTCTATTTTGTGATATCAACTACTTAAACGAGTGTCGAACGGACAAGTCGTGTGCATGGTAGTAAGCTGCACGTCCGTCAATAACAGTTGCAGGGCCGCTCAGAGATTTAAATCGAAAAGATCTGAGGAGCACTGCCACAGCACCCGTCACCCGGGGCCATAAGTTCACAAATCCCATGTGCCTGTAATTCACCAGCACCCAGCATTCCCTTCAAAACTGGAACGTAGTATACTCACATTATTGCTTAGCGGCAGAAATTGGCGAGGTGCCAGTACTTCCTTGGACGAACTCTTTCACAAAAGCTCTACTGCTACTAAAAAAAGGGCTCTACTGCTGTCCTGCGCCCACAATCGATTAGGTTAAAGGCCTAATAGCTGTATACCAATTCCAGCAAAAAAATTCCAGGGAAGAAAATTTGGATAAGCAAACATGTTCTCTTTTCTTTCGCGAAAAAAATCTTAATTAAATAAGAAATATAATTTACGTAGACACAAATACATTGATCACATGTAGGGAGACCTGCACGAATCTCCTTCTAAGATGAACCAATTTCAAAGCGAATAGGTGACTCGTGAAATCTGATAAGGATTTCATTTTCTTAAGACCAGAAAACTGTAATGAGGAAAGCTCTAAGCACGTAATGTACATTAAAATGTAAAAAAATCATTACATGCCTCTGGCCCCAACAAGTATTCCCTCAGTTTTGTTTGAAAACGTATTTTTGTAGATTTTCTACGGTTATATGGAATGTATAGCGCTAAATTTGAATGTAGATTGGCTTACTTCAGTTACTTTCACAGTTAATACCATACGGCACTTTGTTTTAGGGCAATGCCGCCAATATTAACAGAATCTTTGTTTTTGTTTTATAATACAAAGTGACGGAACGAACAAGTCGTACTGCGTTCCGGTTTTGAAGAGTAAGGGTGCTGGTGATATTACAAGCACATAGGACTTGTCAACTTATGTCTCAGGGTGACGGCGGACGTGAAGCTTTGAGTGGCACTGCAACTGTTGTGGACTTACCTGTCGCTTACCCCCAGGCGCACGACCTGTTCGTCCCGTACTTTGTTTGTGTTATAAAAAAATTCTGGGTTATTTCTATTTACATTTTCATGCACAGCACATCTAACTTTACACTTTTGTTCGAATGTCGCCTCCAGTGCCACGGAACAAAATCCGTCAATGTGTAGCTTCATGTGCTGCCGTCTATACCTACATGGGGCCTTGTGGGTATAGAAAATTTAAAATCTCTGTTACAAGACATACATACAAGACGTCGGGAAAGTTCGCATTCATTAAAAACAGAACAATTTCTGTAAACAGCATAACTCATATTGCTTTCCCAAGTTTCTGAAACAAATGAAATTCACAGTCTCTTTACGCACGATTAATTGGGTAAACAGAGGTCCTTCTTTGCGGAATTAAAATAACATTTCGAAACAACAAAACTTTTAAACATTATTGAGTTTGTATTGCCTTTGTGAGACCAAACAATGGTCTTGAACAATTGAAATGATTACTGCCTAGTTCATACTGTTTGTTTAATTTTGTTAACAGATTACGTATATACAAATTTAATTAAATTTCGTTCAAAGTTTAGTGAAGCAATGATGAGTTACCCCGTGAGAAATGCTTAAATCATGAAAATATACTTAAAAGATATTTTATAAGGCAGCTGAAGTATTTTCTAGTACAGTTTTACTACTGAAGCCCACCCCACACCATGTAACACGATTTTTACTTCTGAGTTATCATTTCCTTATAATAAATTAAATATTATTTCTCCTGCAAAAACCTTGCTTTTTTCGAGTCGAAGAAATTTTTCTTTATGTTTGTTCAATCTTTGTAACAATAATAATAACAAACTAGTAGAGTATTTTTACAAAAAATAGATGAACATCATAGTAGTAAAAATATCATGATATGCAATATCGTTTTTTTTGTCCTTACATTTCAGTTATGGATTTTGTTGTTTCATTTTTAAAACTTTTGTTTTTTTTTTTCCTTGTGTGATTTCATTTGAGGTAAAACGTTGATTTGTTTTTTTTCCTTCTTCAATATAACGAATTCTCTAATAAAATAATAATCAATTAATTTGTTATTCAACAAAAGTGGTTTAAAAATTCCGTGCTATGTGAACTATACATATAAACTCAATTTTGTAAAAATAGATTTTTTCTTGACTATTGGTATTGGTATTGGTATTGGTGCAACGGGCTAGTTTCCGCAACTCGACGTCGAGGCGCCTATTTTTCTTGACTATCTGGTATACTGTACTTTTCAAGTTTTGTATTGAATGTCACGGTGTTTTACTATCATGATATTCAATAATTTTTTGTGAAATTTGTGATGTTTTTTCTAAGTGTTCGGTCTTTTTTATTAATAATTATAACAAACTAGTGGAGCAATTTCACAAAAAAGACAATTGAATATCATGGTAGCACATAAAAAATATATACATAAGATCCGCTAGTTCGTTCTGTGGTTTGATTGGCACAGCGTTTGACACGGTTTGCTAGAAGAGAATCTATATTTGAGTGTATAAACTTACAAAACTTCTTTTGTTTCAGCTGACAAAGTACCTCCCGGGTTCCCGAACATAGCGCCACCCCCGACCACAATGGTGGTAGAGGTTGGCCACACAGCCACCCTGCCGTGTCAGGCCACTGGGAACCCTACGCCAAAGATCAAATGGCTCTGGAACTCTTTACCACTTGATGTAGCATCGAACCCGAGATACGCGTTGCTCAATGATAAGATGCATGGTGAGTACCTATTTATAAGTATAACATCGTCATGAACCCATTTATACCACTGCTGGGCACTAATCTCCTCTTAGGTCTCGGTCACGTTTAGGCCAAAGTCCGCCACACTAGCCCAGTACGGGTTGGGGACTTAGCACGTTTTCCAATGGTTGTGAACCTTCTTCGACGTGCAGGTTTCATAACGATATTTTCCTTCACCGAAAAACTCATGGTATCTAATATTTCGCACATAAATTCCGAGAAACTCCGAAGTGGGAGTCCGGCTTTGAACCCACGGCCTCTTGTTGTAGGTCAAACTATTAGGCTATCTTCTGTAATATTTTCTAAAAGCACGTTAGACTTTACGGTACATTCCATAGTAAATATACGGTTACTTCGTTTCAATCCATTTTGAACAAAAAGTGAACAAACAAGTCACTGACCCGATCATAAACGGTTTAGTGATGGCCAAATGTAACGCCAACTACAAATCGATTAATTAATTGAATGAATCGATTTGTTCAATTGAGTCATACTAGCGGTTTTCCTTACTTAACCTATCTAAGCGTATTTAAAATTTCAATTTCAATCCTCCTTCAAATCCTTAAATACTTCATCGATTGCGATTGAAATGATCGATTTAATAATCTATTACTAAACTTTAATTGATTGAACCGAATGTTTTTTTTTCGAACAGCACTATGCAACCATAGGCAAGTCTTAGAAATATAGACTAATAATCACCTCACTTTTGGACTACCATTTCTCAAATACGATTTTGCGATGCTATTCAAATGAATATTGTTAGAAAAAGTGACGATATATCAAGTCGAAATCTTCTAAATATAAGTGAAAGTGTTACTTATTCGATTTATTGAGTGATTGCTTTAGAATTTTAACCAAACAGCGCCTGTGTCGTGGTGGATGCGGGCGCGGGTGCGCGCCGATGCGCGGGTAGATCTATTGGCTCGGTTCGCCCGTACCTTTCACAGTGCTTGGTCTAGCGTCTGTTTGCGATTTCGACGTGTGAATCCACGTGCTCGTAGCCGCTTCGGCACTGTGAAAGGGAAGACGCCAAGACCCGCGCGCCCGCACCCGCCGCCACCCTCGCGCCTGCACTCTGAATGAGCGCTTACTGTTCAGAACTGAAACGAAGTAATGCTCACATAACTGCTTGGCGGCAGAAATAAGTAAGGTGGCAATATTTCCCTAGAAAACTCTTTCACAAGAAGCCCTACTGCTACTACAATTGTTCCTGACTGAATTGATTTCTGTTTAATTGAACTGGAAGTATATAGATAAAAGGATATAAGCCTGAAAGTTTGCTTTTGTGGCTATTTAGAAGAGCTCCTTGTGTAAGAGTACGTCCAGGGAAATACTGCCACCTTACCTATTTCTGCCGCTACGCACTAATGTCAGCATTACTCCGTTCCGGTTTGAGAGGGAAGGGTGTTGTTGAAATTACAACATGGAACTTATCAACTTATGTCCCAGAGTGATGGGTGCAGTGTCAGTGCCTCTAAGATCTTTACGATTTAAAGCTCTGAGTGGCACTACAGCTGTTATGGACAGGCGTGTCGCTTACCGTCTCGTCACTTGGTGTTATAAAAAAAGTCAGAATGGTATTTACATAATCTTTCAAATCTACACATTTTTATATTCTTTGTTTTCAATTCGTAGAATTTTGTTTGAAATATACTATTAATTTGATATATAATGTTCCCTTTTATCTTTAAAGAAAGGCAAACCCGAAAATTTGTACGTCTCCTTAATGATACGCAAATTTTAACTTCTCGTTGTCCTGACCACAAAGGTAAAGTTTCTGCAGGCAAACAAAGTTTTAGCTTTCATGTTAGAACCAATTAGAAAACGATGTTGATAACCCAGAAACAAAAATAGTGTTACATGATATAATTGACGAAATTATTTTAATTGTGTGTTATTGAGATAATTAAACTAGTTTCACTCTTATTGAAAAAAAAAATGATTGGAACATTTAAAAATATGTATTTAAAAACGCCATATTCCTGAACTGTATAGGAACATCAGTATCATGTTCCTAGTGTAGGAACCATTATCTTCTTTTCAAAGCACCACCTTGCATCAAAGCGCTAGGTGTTTTTTTTTTGCACAGTCCAGCGATTTCTTTTGTTTCTCAATATCTTTGATCTCACAATCTGGGATGGAATCGGTACATCCATCACTCGCTCATGTCAATTTGGAATTAACGAGATCCATTTCTTTATTGACGTTCTTAATTCTTAGGTGATCTCGGGATGTTAAAAAGGTTTTTGCGAAGCTTTTTTTTTAATAATACCTTGACCTTTCGTCCTATTGAATGATACTCGGAAGAATATTAAATTAAACGTATAACTACCTACTTTTAAATACTTATATTTGCATATATCAACAATATTATTGTACAGTGTGTGTGTGCTACGTGCGAGTTTGTATATCAACAGCACATCGCTCTAAATTTCAAGCTTCATTTGTTCTCGGCGCTGTGCAGTCGATGCCCAAAGATACCTAACCCCCCAGCCGACCTTTTGGTTCTGAAAACCTTTTTTACTCATTCAACAGAAAATTGTTAAGGAATTGCAGCCTTTTGGTCGAAATTTGTATTTTTGTAATGTAATCAAAGACCAAATTGCCTTAAACAGTTTCTTAAAACGTCATTCAATAATGATGAAATAAGGAACTCATGTCAACATAAATATCGGCTTACAGGTTAAATGTTAAGTTTAACACCTGGGCCCTCTTCTTCAAAAATACTTGAAACCAATTGTCAATTCCATTGAGACTCCATTGAAATTACATTGCAGTTATGATAATATTTATTATTCTGCTAAAATCTAGTTGCAATGGCAGTAGAGTCTCAATAGCGTGGCAGCGGAATGGCAGTGATAGTGTTCATTCTGTCACTAACAATCGATGTTGCCTTAATAAAAGTACTGTGGAAATAAGCATAACTTAATTGTTATCTCGTTTAAACAGCGCTTTACTTTTCAAATGAAATATATATTATATTAATAGACTACACCGTTGACGTGTCATTCACTCGCCATTGAAGAGCGGAATACCAAAAAACATCGATTGCAGTTAAATAGCTCGATAGCTATCCACTGACGAACCACTAATTTTACGTTACCGTGTATGTACATTTTCGAAGTGGCATGGTTTGTTAAGCAAAATGTAAACCTTTTTAAAAAAATTACAAATGTACATAGTAGAGTTGTCAGGGACCCAAATAGACTGGTGTACAATAATAAACCTAGATTGTGTTATTACAGAAATCAATGTAATAGTATGTGTGTCCGAATTAATAATGCTCTACCAAAAGACATTAAAACGTTACCAAATAAATAATTTGTTCGAAACAGACTTAGTGTAAGGCTTAGAGACAAAAATTATTACAAAATGACTGATTTTTTAGATAAATGTTGACATGAAATTAGTGCTTAATGTATATGTATGTACAATGTAATAATCGTGTATAAATATTTAATAGTTTGACATAGAAGGTTATTATTTTGTTGTTTTTAATTGACTGATTGTTCGTTGTTGATTATTAGATGTCGACATGAAATTATAATGTGTGTGTGTATATTTAATGTACTAATGATGTATGATATTTAATAGTTTGACATTAATAATTGATATTTTGTTGTTGTTAATTGATTCGATATTCCTTGTATATGTCTGATGACAGTGCTATAATTAGATTAAATTTAAGTAAAATTTTACATGCCTAGTCAGGTAAAAAATGTGTTTTTTTTAATATATAATGGACACACGCTTGGCCACAATCTCACCTGATGTTTAACGACGATGATACGCGTTTGCCTAAAAAATGCCTATTCACTCTAGCCTTGAATAGCCCCAAATTGTACTTTTCGGGAAATACAGATTTAGTAGAGCATTCCATTCCTTTGCCGTACGCATCAGAAAGGAGGAAGCAAACCGCTTAGTGCGAATAGGTGGAACATCAACGACACAATGGAGTGCTCCGGACCTTCTAGTCTACCGAAGGAGGAACGGTGAGGGTGGAACTAAATTGAAAAGTTCTTGCGCACAATCCCCGCAATGTATCCGATAGAAAACCAAGAAGCAGGCTACTTTTCTGCGATGGTCGAGATTTAGTAGCTTCGACTCCACAAGAGAGTTGTTGTTAATAATGTATTCTGTGATAGTTGTTCCATTATTCACGCCATGTTTTAAGCAAGTAAAATTTCATTTTATTTCATTTTATTACTCTTTAGCAGAATACCAAACGCATAAAAACCTGACATTGACACTCTATCGACGCACAACTAAAATCATTTAAAATTAGCAGACCTGTCTTCACATTCAAAACCAAATAGTCCGTTAGGGAATCATAGGAATTCGACTGTACAAGTTATTATTACAGATTTTGTAGCAAAAGAATGTCAGTAACCGCCCGTGAACACTCATCTTCTGTTAAGTAATTTACTTTGTTTCCATAACCTACTTTCGAACTCTGAAAAACACTAACATTGTTTCGCAGAAAATCTTACTCACTTTACCCAATAAACCAATAATGGGAAACTAGAACAACGACCAACAGTGATTCGATACAAAACATTTCACAAAAGTTGTTATCTGTATTCTGTAAGTATTGCCCTATAACTAAGTTATAGGCAAGTGCTTCGAACATTGATCAATCACATTAATATACGTAAAAATTGGATAGCTAATAATCTTCATGCCTCGTGTTTGGCGAAAGTAAAATGAACCTTTGTTTAAACGGAGAAACGAAGTGTTTCAATAATTAATCAGTACAGAATACTAAAAAACCGACCTCAAATGTCATTCATCCCCTAGTTTGCCACCCTTTGAGGTGGAATATTTTCTTCGAATTTGAACGGGACCACATCTGAAGTACCCTCTTTCCAACAAAAAAGAATTATATAAATCGGTTCACAAATGTCAAATTCACAAAGGAGTTATCGCGTAACATGCATACAAAAAACAAACAGTCCAATTGAGAACCTCCTCCTTTT